AAAAAAAAAGTTTGAAACGGGTGCTATCAAACAGTTATCCTTCCTCCAATTAGCACTTCAGGAAGGCAAAGAAAACAAAGGTTGGTGATGGGTATTGCCAAACAGTTCACTTCACTTTAAACATCAATCCAAGAAGAAACCAAGAAACTTGACAGTAGGTGCTGCCAGCCTGATTCCTTCCCTCTAAACAGCAGTTCAAAATTAGTGGCAGTGGCAGATAGACTTAGTAACTTTTCTATAGCAAAGAAAGACTGAGCAAATCTGTTGCCAATAGAAATTGAACGTGAGACCCTCAAGTCATGAGCATCAACAAAGCTAAAAATCTTGAAGGGAAATACAGCTACTTTCAAGGCTATGTGTATCTTTAGGCTTAACAACAAACAAACATAATAGCAATATTTCAATTACTTGAATAGTTCGAATAATTCAAAATAGCAATAATCGGAAACCCTAATTTAAGTTAATTGATTATTTTCTTGACAGTTGATTTAATCATAATTTCAATAAATCAACAGTACTAATCGGAAATCTTAATTTTCATTAATCAATTAACTTATGTGACACTAATTGATGGAATTACTGCTCATATGTAATTTTAATTTGTCTTTATTCACTGCTTCTGTCTTTTTCTATTGTGGGGTTACAATTTGGCCTTCGACCTGAAGATTTGTTTTGCTAGCATGTTTCAAATTTCATGCAAAGCTACTAGTGGGCTATCTGTGCTAGCTGTCCCTAATGTAGCAGTGATAGACTATATGGATAGCAACTAGCCAACACCACTCTTGAGCTACTCTTTTACCAACGAATAGTGGGATTGGCCATCACATTATAACATGGCTGAAAGGATGATTTGGTGACAGGGATTCAATTCAAACCCATAACCCACAGATTGTGAATCAAATGACCTTGACCAGAAGAAGGCATTAGTATAAAAGCCAAAACATTGTCCCACTCTAGAAATAGGTAGGAACAGTCTATTAAATACAAAACTGAGACGTTTCTTATTCCAACTTGTGGATGAATTCAGTGGCACAACTTACGTAGGCCTAACATTTATGGTTAAAATCACCTAAGCTGAAGATTTTCATGTTCATCTTTTTTTTTTTTGCTCATTTTGGATTTCAAATAATTTTCATTTTTTTAAACTAATCAAAGATGACAACAAATCTATAACACCTATCTGTAATTTCTTTTAAATATTTACAAAACTATTCAACCAATATTTATGTCATGAACCAATACAAAATCTGAACATTGTCACGAAGAAAAAATGTTAGATCATAATTTTGTACCAACTCTGTACAGAAAGGAACTGATAATTTTTTCATTGTTACCAAATTTTGAGAAACTGAAATATTTAATATAAAAAGTAAACCAAACAAACTACAACTTTAAGACTAACTATAAATTATGCTGATAGAGATTTTGGTACACTTGATTGTATCTGTAAGATTAATAGCTGCATCAAACAAATAGGCTTAGGTATGTTCCAAACAACCATTTGAGCTTGAAGAATCATTTTCTGTTCCTCAAGAAATTTGGCAGTGTCAGTTAACTTGAAAATGCTTACAATTATGATGCAAATTTATGTAAAATCTACATACACACATATCTGTTGTTTTAATGTTATACTTTTTTTGTTTTGTTGGCAGGTTATTTTAAGTTATCTGATGAAAATAATTCAACGTCAAGTTTACGCATCAATAACAGATTAGTTTTATTTCATCCGTAACATTTCTTCACGTACTTGTACACTTTGTAACTTGTTTTAGGCTTGTGTTTACAGCCACACTATCTGTAATACACTACCATAAGAATCAATTGATTTGTGGTTGAGTGAATTTGCTGATGGCTCCATTCTCCACTGTTCTCAGGAAGTAGTCTTTACAGGAACTCTGGACTTTTCTGCAGGTTGAGGTTCTGTTGCTCAGTTGGATGACTTTCAGCTTGGATCACTTATTCTTCCAGATTTTGTAAACCTCATCAATATATGGCCCATTCCAGCACCTTCTTAACTTCAGGGTTAATTTATTCTTGTGATAAGGATTGTACAGCCATACCAAGTCACTTCGATGGAATCCAATCTTATCACATTTACATTTTAGTAACTTCATTTTATCACCAGCTGACTTATGAGTTTCTTGGGTAAAGTCGTGTATGATTTTGGTAGTGTTCCTTAATTGCTCTACATATTCTTTGTAAGACTTTTTTGAGCGACTATTCAGCAGAGGAGAGTACAGAAGGTACAATGGTGTTCTCTTCCAAACACCAGATGATGGTGTGTTGCTGGTAACTTCATGTACTGCTGTACAATGAATCATCAGTAACAGTGGAAGATAATTTTCTAACGTTAATCCACATACGTGGTTGTATCTTTCCATTATGCTGTCAGAAGATACACAAAGAGCTGTTTGTTGTCCATATCTTTTTAATCTGGGCCTGGCATGACCTGGTTGTTAGGGCACTTGACTCTCAATCTGTGAGTTGCAGGTTTGAATCACTGAACTTCCTTGCCCTTTAAACCAAGGGAATATTATAATGTGTGGTCAATCCCACTCTTTGTTAGTAAAAGAATAGCCCAAGAGTTGATGGTAGATGGTGTTGATTAGCTATCTTCCCTCTAGTCTATCACTGCTAAATTAGGGATTGGTAGAACAAAGCGCCCTCATGTAGCTTTCCATGAAATAATAAACAAACCTTTTAATCCTAAGAATCTTGCACATTTCCACAAACAAGTTTGATTCGTAGTTCTTTCCCTAAGTTGAGACAAATTTGTGGACGAGTTTCTTTTTTATGAGTTTCTGCTTCCTGTTAAGAACAGCATATTCTTTAGGCCATTCAATGAAATATTTCACTGCAACTATGATGTGTCTATTCTCATTGTTACTTTGTTGCTGCCTGTGCTGTTTCCGTGAACCTCACAGCAAAGCCTACATGTTCTATACAAATGTTTCACACTCAAACTAGTAGAAGCATTCTCTTAATTGCTTCAGATTCTTATTAACATATAAGTGTCCAACCATTGGAAGTTTGTGGAGATGAAAGAATGCTTCAGAAGTGTCCAACCATTGGAAGGTTGTGGAGATTATAGAATGCTTCAGAAGTGTTCAACCATTGGAAGGTTGTGGAGATGAAAGAATGCTTCAGAAGTGTCCAACCATTAGAAGGTTGTGGAGATGAAAGAATGCTTCAGAAGTGTCCAACCATTGGAAGGTTGTGGAGATGAAATAATGCTTCAGAAGTGTTCAACCATTGGAAGGTTGTGGAGATGAAAGAATGCTTCAGAATTGTCCAACCATTAGAAGGTTGTGGAGATGAAAGAATGCTTCAGAAGTGTCCAACCATTGGAAGGTTGTGGAGATGAAAGAATGCTTCAGAAGTGTCCAACCATTAGAAGGTTGTGGAGATGAAAGAATGCTTCAGAAGTGTCCAACCATTGGAAGGTTGTGGAGATGAAAGAATGCTTCAGAAGTGTCCAACCATTGGAAGGTTGTGGAGATGAAAGAATGCTTCAGAAGTGTCCAACCATTGGAAGGTTGTGGAGATGAAAGAATGCTTCAGAATGAAGATAATGTAGAAGTACACGCTCCAATAATTGTTTCTGTCCTCTAGTATCTCCCCATTTTCACACAATAAACCCCTTTGTAAACATAAGGAATCCCCCTTTGCCTATTTATTTTTGTGTTTTTTGTTGGTGGAGGAGATGTTTGGAGTGACTGAATGCCATGAGGGCCTTTCTTCACTATTTTTGAACTAGTGAACAATTGGTTTTGAACTTTTATCATTGCCTGAGCATCTTTCAAATGATTGCTGGATCACGTCAGTTCATCACTTGTAGATGCTGCCTCTTGGATTACACTTTGTTGTACTTCAGGTTAGTAGTCTTTTCTATCCTGTGCTTTCTTCTTCTCATAATATTTACACTCTTCATTATTTTTGGGATAATGCATCAGAAATTTCAATATTTCTTGTAGTAGATAGTGTCTTTGGTTGGAACTCTTGAGTCAGTGCCAGAAGAGATGTGGCTGTTTTCCATCTCGATAATTTTATCATCTCAAGTAACGCTTCACGCTTACTCCTTGACCTCATGGTCACAATATTCACAGATGAAGTTCAACTTTTTGTATGTTTATATTTTATTTTCAACAAAATGATCCCACTTATAACACCAGTGTTGTAACTTTGTTCTTTCTTTGGTGGGCTCTTTTAAATTATCTGGTGAAAATAATTCAATGTCCAGTCCACCTAACAATAACAAAAGTTTTATATCCTCCTTAGCATTTCTTTACAGTTTTGTACACTCTGTAATTTGCTGTAGATCTTTGTTTACAGCTATGCTATCTGCACTACACTAACACATAAAAACACCTCTTACTTGTACAAAGTATTTATAATCTAATCCTTATTATAGATGTTTCACAAAGTCACTAGTTCATTTATATTCCCAAAATTATTGGACTAACTTGATATTAAAATGATGTGATTAACATCTAACCCACAACATTAAAACAAAAGATATAGCTTATAACAATATATCTAATAATGTTCACAAGAAATAAATTATTTATCTCATCAGTTAGGCCTCCTAAGGTAGGCAAAGCAATGGAGAACATTGAGATTAACCTACTGTTATATCTGTGATACATGTAGTAGTGTATAATTTGGTATGTATTTCCAGGTTTGTTCACTATGTCAGATGGTTGGAGCAACAGTAGGATGTTTAAACAAAGGATGTCCAGAACAATACCATTACATTTGTGCCACTGAAACAGGTATTAACAATATAATTGATCAAGTACCTTAAGTGAATTGTATCATTGTAATTGTTTGTGAAAAGGTTTGACTTTCATTGTGAAGCACTATCTTTTCTAGTGTAAAAACTGTTCACTGATATTATTTATAATGTATGCTTGTTTGTTAATTTCAAACACTAACTTGAAAGGGGATGGGGCTGCCAGTTTATTAACTTCAAACACTAAGTTGAAATGGTGGGCTGACAATTTATAAATATCAAACACTAACTTGAAAGGGGATGGGGCTGCCAGTTTATTAACTTCAAACACTAAGTTGAAATGGTG